GCTGGCACAGTCTGCCGAGGGAACCTGTGGCTGCCCCATCCCTGGCAGTGTTCAAGGCCAGGTTGGACACAGGGGCTTGGAGCAACCTGCTCTAGTGGAAGGTGTCCCTGCCCGGGGCAGGGGTTGGAGCTGGAGGAGCTTTAAGGTCCCTTCAACACAAACCAATCTCAGATGCTATGATTATCTGCATAAAAGCACCATTTGAGGGGTGAGGGGAGACTGGGGGGGGAAAGCAGGGCTGGCCATGAGGGGTAAGGGTCAATGATGAGGGGACAGAAGGGGTGGCCATGGTGGAGGAGGTGAGTGAGGGTGGCCACAGGAGCAATGTGTGTTAGCCCTTGCCTTGCTCTGCACCCTCCCAGATGAAATGATGAACCAAGGAGAAGCTCACACCAACAGGACCCAGTGCCCAGACCAGTGGGGCCAGTTAGCAAAGGGTGATGGTACCAGTAACTTGTATGATGCCAACTCTTGACTGTGAGGTTGAGCCTTGGTTCAACAGCCAGGTCAGATCTCCATCCTCAAAACATAAGAAGAAAACAAAACCCCAAACATTGTCCATTTAGGCTTTGTGCTATGTATGTCTGATGCCAATTTGATCCATCAGCTTCAAACTGGTAGAAGCTGTTAGTGGTGTGGTTACTAACCCTTAACACTTAGTCTACAACCACAGACCACTAGTAACACCAAAGCAGTGACATCAGCTATCAAACAAACTACATTTATCTCCTCTCTCCTACAGCTGACTTCCAAAGTTCTGACCTCGTGTAGTTATTCAAGCCTCTGATTTTTTAATTCCATTTTATTTTTAACAACTTTATGCACTTGAATTATTTTCAGTCCTTTAAAACTTGTACCCCAGGTTCTGCCAGGATTGGTGCTTTGTTTGAAAACCCTCCCCCCCCAAACCAAACAAAGTCCTGGCAGATTCATCCTTACCGCACTGTTTTCCAAAGATATTCCCTATCTTTCAAATGGGAAATACCACCAAAACCAGTGGAAGTCCTCTTATAAAAGGCATCTCCTTCATGAACTTAAATATACGCTTTTTAACAAAGGCAGAACTGATGAAAATATAAAGGTTTTCTTTCTCCTAATGAAATTAATAGAGTCAAAAAACGTGCAGCCCAAATTTTCTTCAATAAGCAAAGGAACTGTCAGAAGCAGATCAACATAAAGGAGAACATTGCCATCCAACAGACACAAAGAGCTGGTTTACAGAAATAATGAGAAAAAGAAAATAAAATACAAGCTACATTTTCTGCCATAGGCTCTGTTCTGCAGGAAAAGACTGCAGAGTATTTAAAGGAGCTGTCTGGGTTAATGACAGCTGATGTCCCGGATCCCATAGCAGTAGTCATGACCTTCAGGCCCTCCATGACTGACAGGCTGACCCCAATCACTCCAGGGTGCAAGGTAAATGACAAGCAAAGAAGAAAAAGAAAGAGAAGAGAAAGAAAACTTGCTGCCGGCTTTGTAGCCAAGCTTCCTAATAAAAACTAATTCAAGCTGTCAGGGTGAAATGAAGAAAGTGTCAACAGGGGTTTGCAGAGAAATATTCCAAATGTTTGCCTAGAAAAGCCAAGAGCTGGGTTCCCTTCCCCCAGCCCAACGCTGCTCCTCAAAAAGGGCTGGAAAATCCAATGTCGAAAGGAATTTTAATAACGTGTCCAGGGGGACCCCTGAGGAGGGACCCAAGGGGACACTTTTCTTCCCTTCCCTGACAAACCCAATCATCTCCGTAATGGTGAAGAGCACAAAACTCACGAGGGAAGTGCCAGCGGAGGGGTTGGGTGAAACCAGCATCCGTGTGAAATAGGACCATGCTGTCGGCTTTAGAAACCGAGATGTTTAATGGTGACCCACAGGTTAAGAGCCCTGGGAGCCACCAAAGAGAACAACCTGCCACCAGTGAAAGGCTGAGATGAAACGCGGGGTGAGAAACCTCCTGTGCTTCCACATCAACCAACGAGCGACCGCGGCCTCCAGCAGAAGATGGAGAGAAAATGCCTCTCCAAATTACTACCCCTCGCAGAAAGGCAGAGAATTCAAACCCTCAAGAGCCTTGTGGAGGCACTGAAACATCTGGCTAATGCCCAGAACACTGCCCTGGCATCACCCTGCACTGGGGCAACGGCCAGTGTCAGGCCATGGCCAGGACATGGAGCTACCAAGGGATAGAAACCCTCCACACAGCCCAACCGCTCACTAGTACAGTGCTGTGAACAGAAGGGAAGAAGGATCCCTCCAGCCAGTAAAATTCTTGTTATTCATTTATATCCCTTTATTTATTTACATCCCTTTATATATACACCTTTATTTATTTATTTGTATTTATGTACCTCTACCAACTTGAAGACATTACTGGGTGCAAAGAGAAAGCACCAACTTGCAATTTCTGGCAAATACAGTTGTTTTCCAATCTCACACACAAACACACGGGCAAAACCAGCCTCAAGGCACCTTGGAATGGAGAAGGGAGGGTAAAAACATGGAATATTTTGTAAGCTTTAAGGAAAAAAAAATAAATAATCAGGTAATTGGTGTAGAAACTCCCATGGGAAAAAAGAAAAACAAGCCCCCTAAACCTGGGTGAATCAAAACCTCAAAAGCTTTCCTGACCCTGGGCTTCTTAAGGGACATCCAGGGAATTGTAGATGTCACACCAGGCACTGCCCTGATGACAAGGGGACTTCAGCTTTCTTAAGAGAACCAGATACATCTATTTAGTACAATTCAATCAGAAACATCTTGGAGGGAAGAAGTCCCCTCACTTTTTGTAGAGCTATAACATGGTCCTGGGGTATCTTTACCTACGTGAGGCAGCTATTTCTGAGGTCTTGGCCATCCCTTTGTACTTGAAGGATGCCACCACTCCAAGGAGACCCACAGCCACCTCCAGCCTGGACAAGGTATCCAAGCAGTTGAGCAGCATGAAGGTTTGAGGAAAAGAATTCATATTTTAAGCCTGTTGAGATCATATAATCCCAGCCTGGTTTGGGTTGGAAGGGACCTTAAAGCTCTTCCAGCTCCAACCCCTGCCCCGGGCAGGGACACCTTCCACTAGAGCAGGTTGCTCCAAGCCCCTGTGTCCAACCTGCCCTTGAACACTGCCAGGGATGTTTCAGTGCAGACAAAACCTCTTTATTCCAACCCCTACCACACTCATCTCCTACCTCAGATGAAGGTCTTCCGAAAACTTCAGGCAGGCGTAGATGAATTCCTTAATCTGATTGTAAACTTTAGGCACAAACTCAGAAAAGGGGAACTTCTTTGGAAATGGTTGCTGTAAAATACAGGAGAGAATTCAAGTCGAGGAGCAGACACTAAACAGGAGTGACGACTGCTTTCCAGCAGCGTGTTCCAAGCAGCCAAATCAACTCTAGTATTTAGCTAAGTCCAGCAATGAAACAACAAGCCAGCATTTATTGTATATTATATAAACATTTCAGCCAAGTGAAAGACCAGATAATCACTTACAAATGGCACATGGGTGCAGAAGGGATTTGGAGTCTGAAATGGGGCTGGAAGGAAACTTGCAGCTAGGAGGGAGCAGGCAGCCCAACATTCCCTCATTCCCTCTCCTAATTCCTTAACTCGTACGAAAAATCCCCTTTGGAGAACAAATTAACTTTTATCTCCCTCCATGCACACGGTGTTTTGCTTGGTCACCTCCCACAGTTGCTGCCCAAGGTGAGCACTTGCTTACAACACCAAAAGCCAAGAGGAAACAGATGTCCTACACTGAATTTTCTCCAACCAGCTTTTACTCACAGCACACACAGGGCTGGGAGGTGCAGAGCGTAATAGTAAGAAGCTGGAGCCTATGATACAGCTTTGGGGGAAGGACACAAACCCCCTGAAATCTAAATACTTGACTTGGATCAGAAACCCTCCCAGTCCTAATTAAGTTCACCAGGCTTGGAGCTCGCTGGCTGCCAGATGGGGAGCAGAAGGCCAAGCAGGCTTTTAAGGGACACTGGCTAGGTCAGATTTGGCGAGATTTAGGTTTTGCAAGCACACAGTTCTACAAAAGCCAAGATACACCATTTCGTTAGCCTTTTTTTTTTTAAATATAAGATTAAAACAAATAAAGGTCAATAACAGCTCCTAAAATGAGAATAAAATACCAATGGAAGCAAATATTTCTAGTCTCTTGCCTACTGCAAGCACTGTTGAGCTGCAATAGCACACCATGAGCTGAAAACAAAATCAATTAAGTACTGCTACATGCACTTCCCTCACCCACACCAGAAAGACATCACATAGAAAGTATATTTGTTCTTTTCCCTTGTTCTAGGTTTTTTTTGTTGTTTATTTGGTTTGGGGCTTGAGGTTTTGGGTTTGGTTGGGGGATTTTGGATGCTTTCATTTGCAGTTCCCAATGCCAGCAACAAGGGCACGGGGTTTTCCTGCACCACAGCCCCACTGTGCCACTTTCCCTGTTTCAAGATTACCTTTTCAAGTTCTGCATCCTGGAATGGGAACTGCCCAACTATTTTCTTATAAACGTCTTCATTTGTCACTGGGATGGGGCTGTAGTTATCTGAATCAAGTATATTTCTAAGGAAAGAAAAGAAGAGTTACAAAGGCAGCTCTGTGATGACAGACCAACCACAACTCTGCAGATACACTGCTCAGTTAGGAAGCTCTGAAGAAGTAGGTGCCAGTCTAAGATGTAATCCCCTGGGTCTAAACTTCTCAGCATGTTTCTGACTGTTGAAATCATCTTTGCTGCAGACAAACTCAATGATCTCTCCCAGCTCCATGCCCTCAGCCTGTGTAAAGGCACAACCAGAGCCTAATGGTGATTTTAATCCAGACTGAAGCTTCAGCAGCAGCCCATGATAAAATCCAGGTAAGCTTCAGTCCTGCTTGACTTGAGGAAGGTGGATGCTGAGCTACCAGGGTGTTGACAATCCTCCAGCACCTCTTCCCAATGCTCCACTCTCCGAGATGCCGTAATCCTCCTGAGAGGTCCTGGAGGACCATCAACAGGATGAGCTAGTGGCTGCAGAGCACAGCATGGGACCCTGGTAATAAATACATCATATCCTACCACTGGGCAACTGCTCAGCTCATGGACATGCCCAAACCAGCAGCACAGGGATATGCCACCGATGTCCCAGGACATACACAGCTCAGTGCTGGAGTGAGGGCACACAAACGCTGCTGCAACACCAGATTTTTGCATCCTTCCATATATTGACTGCCAGTGTGAGCTCCATAAGGAAACCATAACCTTTTCCTTCTGGGATGTAAAACCTCTGGCCTTCACTGACTTATTGCACAGATATCACACACAGCATACTTCCAACTGTATTTAAACTGGCTCTCTGGTCCAAGGAGAGCTCAGGCTGAAGCTTACTGTTGCCTACAATTTAATCATGAGCTTTATACTAGTCACATCATCGAATGGTTTGGGTTGGAAGGGACCTTAAAGACCATCTAGTTCCAACCCCCCGCAACAGGCAGGGACACTTTCTACTAGACCAAGTTGCTAATCTCCCAAAAGGTTTTATCTATGAGCCAATACTACTCTGTAAGGTGCATCTTATGAGTTTCCTTAAAGAGCTTCTTACCTGAAAACTCCTGACCACTTCTTCAGTAGGGTTTCACTATACTGGTCTTGGATCTCCAACAGCATGTCAAAGAGCTGGTTCACTGGGAAGCCGTATCCCTGCAGTGGGTGAGGGGAGAGAGCAATTGCAGGTGAGAAAAAGTCACCAACAAGAGTTGAAGATTAGTTTCTCTGTTTAATAGGGAGCAAATAGTGGACAAATTCCCTATCACCACCACAGAGGTGAATGGTGCCGGGGAAGGGATTGGGGTGGTGATTTACTGAGGTGGTAGGACCAAGGGTTATGGGTCTGGGTGTGGGCAAGAGGCACAAGGACTTGGCAACGTGGCCAGGCTTGGTCCTTGCCCATAGGCTGGCCACCTCATGTGCACGGAGAACCAGACTGTCCATCAGGCACCACAATGCCAAAAAAGAAGCCAGGTCACCACAGCAAGCCCTCATCAGGCATTTAACTCCTCTGACAGACACCATCTATGAGCAGCACAACACTGAGTGAGATCAAGAGTGATCACCAACAGCCACGTACCTGGAGTGTATCTGCAAAGAGGACAATGAGGTTCTTCAAGTCTAACACCAGGCTCGGGTCCGAGCAGTAGGACTGCAAAGAAGAGGAGAAATTACAACATGGTTTGAACTGCAGGAAGAATATTGCCCTCAGCCCTCCTCCGTTATCATTTGAGTGATAATAAACCCAGAGGCCATGCAGTCCTATGATCAGCTGCTTTTATCCTCCAGCCCATGCCCTAAGGCTGCACAGGGCAAGGGAAGGCATACTGATAAGGGTATCTCTCCTTGTAACACACTGCTCTTGAGGCTCTCCATGATGAATAAGGATTTGGGTTGCTCTAGAGATACCTGAAGTGTCTCTAAGATTACCCAGGAGCTGCTGGGGAAGCGAGAGGAGATGAAGCAAATCAGCACGTTGTCATACCAAGACGACAGCAGCGCCTCTCATTTAATATTTAGTGTGTTGTGTCTGATGGTAATGAAGCATCACAGTGAGGCATCCCCAAGCCCCATGTGAAGGCTTCAATGCTAAGTGGTTCAGGCTGAGAAAAAACACTCTGCCTGCCTATATTTCAGAGATTTAATGCTCAGAGCTACAAAACAAGTATTTATTGCAGGTCAGGACACTTCTCAAAGCCCTAAAGATACAACTCAGTGTAACAATAATGCTCATTGTCCTTCCAAAGCCACCCCATGTTACCCACAGGCTTCACAGGCTCTCTGGACACAGCAGACAACCTCCCTGTGCTGAAATATGTAAAGTTTCAGACAGAGTCTAACCAAATATAGAATCAGTGATCACAAGCTGGAAAGAGAAACAGGTTTAAAGCTCACTGGAAACTCGAGGAGGAATGACTCCATTAATCAACGTGAAAGACTGGAAGAGACACATTTTCCACTTCACTGTCCAAAAAAGAAAGTCAGAAAGAAAGATAATGCCCTAAAGCTATCAGAAGTGATAAAAGATGTCCCTGTCTGCAGCAAGGAAGAAAATCCAGGGATAAGCTTGGCTGAATGGGAAGAACTGAAGCAGGGTGACCAATGTGAGAGCCCTATACGTATAGAGCACTGCTCTATAAGGGAGCAGTGCTTAGAGATAAAAGTGATGACCAGGGTACTGCAACATTCCCTGCCCGTGGCAGGGGGCTGGAACTGGATGAACTTTAAGGTCCCTTCCAACCTGAATCATTCTATGATTTCATGATTACTGAAAACCCCCTCTTCTGGCAGCCACCTCATGCATTAGGTTTGGCACCACTTAAAACAACTTGTCATGGCAACAAAGCTGCTAAGACTGAAAACCACCGTGTTTGGACCTGGCTTGCTCTCATGGTGTTCACCTAGCAGAAAACCCCACTTGAAAAGAAAATAAACACAGGTTTACAACCTAGCGGGGTGTACATCATTGTGTTTATCCCCTTCTGTGACAGAGAAGCTTAAGTGGAAGGAGGCAGCTTTCCAGTCAGCACTACTGCCGTGCTGGATGGAGCCGGAGAACCCTCCTCGTCCCTGTGATTAGGTCCATCACTGAATGTTCCCCACTTGCACAGGGAAAGCCAAGGAGCTCTTCTGCAACACGGTCAGTGGGTGACCACACCAAGATAAAGTCATGGGCACCTAAATGCAGAATCTGGGGGCATTTGGAGCAAGCAGCATGTTGTGTCTCCACACAGAGGGACACTTGGGCTGCATCAGAAGGAGCATGTCTAGCAGGCTAAGGGAAGGGACTCTCCCCCTCTGCTGCACTCTGGGGAGATCCATGCTGCTGTCCCGATCCGGCTCAGACAGAAAGGCATGTTGGACTGAGATGAGCTCTTGGGCAGAAGCTCTTCCCTGTGAGGGTGCTGAGGCGCTGGCACAGGGTGCCCAGAGAAGCTGTGGCTGCCCCATCCCTGGCAGTGTTCAAGGCCAGGTTGGACACAGGGGCTTGGAGCAACCTGCTCTAGTGGAAGGTGTCCCTGCCTGGGGCAGGGGTTGGAGCTGGAGGAGCTTTAAGGTCCCTTCAACCCAAACCAGTGTATGATTTTATGACCTCTTTACCACTCGGGTACCTCCATGTGCGTGCTGCACCACAGTGGGTACAGACCTGCACCGACATGCCTGTGCAGCGTCCTCCTGCTGTCAGATGGCACTGCCATCCCCGAGCAGCAGCGGGATCTCAGGGATTTATTACTTTGTTTTCCCTGGACAAAAGGGCCCAACAATTTGAAAGTGGACTTGCAGAAAGTCACAAATGCTTTTTCTTTTATGGTCAAATGCAATTTTTCCATCCCACTAACCCGTAGGGTTTTCAGGAAACTCCAGTGCTCCCAACGGAACCAGTACAACGTTACATCAAATCATACAACACGGGGAAAAAAAGATGTGTATTTACTGCAACCGCCTTTGGATTTTTTGCTCAAGCAGAGAAATATTAAAGTGACCAGAATTTTCCCAAACTTTTGTCACTATTAAAAAATAAGAAATCTATGTATTGTCTTTTCACATACAAATGATTTGACAGCAGCCCATTCGCTGCCATGAACTATAAGGGTCGTACTTCAGTCTGCCAAATAGACACTTTTTTCCCCAGTTTTCCAGCACAAACCGACTCCCTCTGCTGGTGCTTCCCAAAAGTGATCAGCCAAGTAACAGGAAAAATATCAAACCACTGTTTTCTTTCTCTCCAGTCACCCAAAATATTGAGTTTGATGCAGGGAAATGCAGAGCATCAAAAGGCAAAAAAAGCCAGAGAAAGCCTAAATGGAAAGCTCCCCATGACCTGGATCCAGTGTGTGCTTGAGCCTAGACCCGCCGTGTGCTGGGTGCACCCCCAGAGCGTGAGCAGCAGCTCAGGGAGGGGATCCTGGACCTCAGCTGGGCTGCGCGGCGGCACACGCG